CTGCTGCTGCTGCTGCTGCCACAACCACCACCGCCACCACCGCCGCTACGGCTACTGGTGCTGCTATTGCTGCTACTGCCACTGCTACCACAATCTTCCAATATACTGTCTCTCTCCCTAGAGCACCATGTCTGCAGGCTGTACGAACTGGCGAAGGAAAACGAGGCAAAGCAGCCTGAGGACGGCTCGCCTGCAGGTTTGCCTTGCGTAAAAAATTGGGAGCGATCATTCCTGGATGTACTACAAAACGGAAAAGGTTTCCAGCAGTGGGCCGCAATAGCCAGGTATTGTTCGACATGATACGCATTCTTCGCATTTGTAGCAACAATGTGGACAGCGCGGCTGACTTTTTTCTCGTCATGCTGTTGCAGGACCCGCCAGCAAGGGAAGCACCTGTCACCAGCGGGGACGATGTGTTGGAGGCCCATGTTTATGATTTCATGGCTTTCAGTTAAGGATTAGGGTTTTTTGTGTGTTAGTTTCAATGGAGAGTTTTTGGGTTCAATTTTTCCTCGTTGTGCTGTACAGCTTTCAGGAGGCAGTGTTCCGCTATCATAGGCTGCCGAACTTCCGGATTGAGGATTTGCTTCTTTATGTTTGGATTCTGCTGATTGGGGGTGAGGGCCTTGCAAGGTCTAGTTGGGCTTAACGAGGCCCGCTATAGTTCCAAGCCCTGGGTCACAAATTTCAAGCTGAGCTCACAAAACATGCCTTGGTGGCTTTTTGCTTTGCATGGTCTTCTTGTCTGCCGCCGAAGCCTGTATGTCCTACCTTTTCAACACGGGGTCTCTCCATATATCTCACTCCCAACAAAGCAGGAGCCTTATTCCAACTACCCTGCAGACAAAAAAGCTCTAGTTTCCCTCCTTGTAAACGGAGAGTGTTCTTTGAAGTGGTCTGAAGCTTCATGTAAGTTTTGTGGGCAGTGTCGGTGCAGGTGGCTGGTCCACTTCGATCATCCGAAACCCAAAACGTTTTTTCGCAACCCAACCGCCTAAATACAGGATTACAAGTCATAATAGTCCCCCCCAAGGACTACATAGGGCTTAATGAGGCCTAATAAGGTTAAAAATCTGGGGGGGGGGGGGTACGTTTGGGTGGGTGCTATTATAGCCCCTTACTAAACTGAAACGTAACCCCAAAAACGGAGTACACAAACTGCGGCCTTTTCTTAAAGGAGCCCTTAGTTTGGGAGGGTGCTGCCTATGACTTCCGAAAGCTTGGAGTCCTGGATCCTTGCCCTCAAACCCTAGGTTTCTATAGGGACATATGGTCTCGGGTTCATGGGGTTATAGAGGGCTTATAGGGGTTATATAGGGACAGATAGGGTTTAGGGTTTAAGGTTCAAGGTTTAAGGACTTGTGTCACCCTACAAGACTGCCTTCGCAACATCGCCTTCATCCACGGTTTAGGGTTTGGGGTTTAGGGTGGCTTCACCCTAAACCCTAAACCCTGAACAATGCTGGGAAGGCGGCCCAAACCCTTCTTCATGGGTATAATGATCACAGGGATAACGGAAAAGAACATAGAAACGACTATTTAGCGTTTAGGATTTAAGGATCTGGGCTGCTGTTTTGGAAATTGAACTAAGTTACCATAATAGGGATTCATAGCAATCCACACGGTTCCCTCTACATAGTAACTTAGAATTAGTTCTTTGCGACTGACCCAGTTATTTCCTTTTTGTAGAAGTCCCCTTAAAGCCTGAACCCACGCCGCAAGCCTATTACAGCCCAATCGTCAGCGTAACTCTAAACCCTGTACCATAGACCACCAGCCCCCTAAGCCTGCACCCCAAACCACACACCTTACTCGGAGGGTCAGGGGGACCTAACATCCCTATGACTCCTCAAATTCACCCATAACCCCGAACCCCACATCCTAACCCTAAACCCTAAACCGTAAGCAGGGCATGCTCAGCGATCTTCTCGGAGCTCTCCGCCGTGAGGGCCCAGGGGACCCCTTCTCGGCCGAGAAGGAGGGGCCAAGGATTTGGGTGTGCAGGGGTTCACATAAAAAGGTTTAAGGGGTTTTCAGCTTAGGGTTCAGGGATGTCACAAATTTGAGAGGCTTAGGGTTTAGGGCAGTTTAGGGTCCAGGGTTGCGAGTTTAGGGTTGAGGGCTTCCTCTTCATGGTTTAGGGTTAGTGCGTCGAAGGGGGACTTGAAAACTGGAGCCCGAGAGCCCAACAACTGCCATGTTGTTTGCGTGTGTGGCAGCCAGGTGGCGGCCATCAATGCCAAAGCCTCCGAGGTCCGGAGCCGAAGCATTTGCAAAAGTTGGGAATCCCCTTTTCGCATAAATGGAATGTGTGGGCGGAAAAAATGGGGTCTCCGCTGAAAGACATAGCCATAATGACCCACTGGGCTTTGGGGGCAGCATGCCGTGATTAGACAAGGAACCTTCCTCGCCACGGTTGATACTAACAATCCTGCATGACGATATACTATGGTGTGCCGTCCATGTGAGGGTTTCCGGAAAGAGAGTTCAGGGTGTGAATCTGAACGCCGCTTTCCGTTGTGAGTACGGTTTCCGTTTCGTTGGGTCCCTCAACCCTGAAGCCTAACAAACCTGTGAAGGTCTATCTGGTAGTTTCCCCAAATGAGGGTACCCCAATATAGACCCTAATATACTAAAGGGTACCCCTAATTTTAGTAAAACCCCATCTGATTGTTTGTCAGGCCGTCACAGCGCCATCTGGATCTGATCCTCCAAAAACAGCAGGCCGAGGGCCAGACTTGACTTGCTTGGTTTAGGTACCATTGGGTTGGGGTCTATGGTTGAGAGTTTTGCCACACTACTCACCTTAGCTTCTTGATTCACGGAGACTCCAGGGGCTTTTGGGCGCCCCTTCCACACATGTTTGAAGGTCATCCAAAAGGCTGCATCTCCTGCGATTGCATCATGCAGCAGGAAGCATGCGTTCGTGGTCTTTCCGCGCCGCCACCTCTTTCAAGTTTGTTGTGGGCGGTATGCCCCAACGGCCCCCCTTTTGGGTCGATGCTTCCGCACAACGTGATGGTCAGGCTGGAAGCCAAGCTACGAGATGGCAACGCATCCTTCCCGGAGCCAGGCAAGCCGCATCGACCGTTGGAGCGGAAAGCAGGCCAAGCCGGTCCATCGCAGCTTCCAAGAAGGCGACAGCGTAACGGAGTTGCGCATCCTTCGATGCTGATGCGCGCCGCGTCGCCTGAGAGATGGGGCGGGTGTCTCAAAGCGGCAAGGGGCTCCCCTGGCCCGAGGTGCTGCGGTGCACCTCCACTGTGATGCCAACTACCACCAGTGAGCGACGTCATTCGCAAAGCTCGGAGTTTGATGTGGTCAACATAGAAAATGTAACATGCAAGAGGATTGTGCGCAAATTATTTTGGAAGTGTTGCAGGCATAGTCGGAAGTACACCTTGGAGAAAAACGGCATAGCAGCGAGGCTTGGAATGCGCTGTGCTAGGAGGACTCGTTTCTGGGGTGCTGCAGATTCGGTGTTTTCGTGTCTTGTCACCTGGGGATCTGTGACACCTTCCGACCTCTGGTGGCTTCCTGCTGATGGTTGCTGTCGGCTTGCGTGCGACATGGTAGGTAGGACGGAAACCACAGTAGCGAGTTGGCACGCAAGGTGTTTCTTGCTGCTGCTTGTGCGCGCCGTTGCGCTAATTACTAGAAACATGGCTCACAGACATAACTAGCAGCTAGCATGTTATGAAGCCAAACGAGCCAACGAGGTCTTGCACCCATGTTTGGAAAGACATTTGACCTGACTGCATGCGCGTAAGTGCCAGCCGGTATTTTGCTTGTCTTGTTAACAATGTAGCAAAGATCGCGTGGGAGTTGTTGTTGCCGCCTTGCGCGTGCCAGTTGCGCCATCGCGTGACGGTCTGAAATTATCATGTTGCTCGGATTGCAGCTGGCATTGGAAGGGCTCATGACTCACGGTCATTGACATCGCCGAGGAAAGCCGAGGTTGCCCGCAAAAATTAGAAGGATATCGGAGCCGAAAATCGGATCAAACAATCGGAAAAACCAGGCGAAGGTGCGCATCACCTTTTTTTTTTTTTTTTTTT